AAGGAGCGAGGAGTTTTGTGATCTAGGAGAAAATGGATTTGGGATATGGAAGAGTTTGAATAAGAGAAGTGTTAGATTTCTCTCCGCGAGAAATTGTGAGATATCACTTTGTGGGTTTACTAAAGGGTATAATATAGAGCAAGTGAGCGATTATAAATTTGCAATTTTCCATATTTGTAGTGGATTCATTCGCTCCACATGGAAAAGGAACCAACGCTCCGACTGGATCACATAAATCTTTGACGTTTTTTTATCAATTTGCTGTTGATTTCTATAGTAATTTCGTTATCTCGTTTTTGATATTTAATTACATGATCTGTTAGCTGCACCACGTTCTAACGTAAACAGGTACATAAAAAATCTCCTTACTCTAGAAGAGAAGTTTCCCCATAATTGACAAACCCAATGTATAATCAAAATTAATGGTGCCACCGAAAACCAAAATCAGAAGCACTTATTACATGTTTTTTTTAGATAAACCAACCTAGGTCCGCTGGATACACAAAATCATCAGGAAAAAGACATAATAAGCACTATAATTTTTGTACGGCGCTCACTTGAATGCCATAATCCTTTTTTTTTTTCAATTATTTGAGTGCCATAATTTACGTATGGTGTTCACTTGATGTCATGTCTTTTTTTCTAATCATTTGAGAGTCATATAATTTTTCAATCGATCAATTGAGTGCCATAGCTTTTTAAAAACGTTCACCATAAGTATCATGTTACGTCGGATTTCTAACACTAGAGTGAACGTTTTTAAGAAGTCGTGACACTCAAGTAATCAATTGAAATTCATATCCCCCAAGTGAACGTACTTAAAAAAGCTATGGCATTCAAATGGTCAAAAAAATTATGGCCCTCAAGTGAACGCCACACGAAAGTCATGACACTTGTGGTGTCCGATCGCGATTTTCTTGTACTCATACGGTATTAAAATAAACTAATTTGAGGTTGCTCGAGACTTATTCTACCATTTGACGGTTGAAGCATGAATGATCTTGGATTATAGACATTTATAACCAACGCACGCTGGTTAATGATCAACCTTAAACAGCACTAAAGATGTACAAGCGAAGCATGAGTATATACTCAGTTCATCCTCAAGTCATTCCTTTACCATGGGAGTTGGAATAATAGAAGGCTCCTCTTATTTTCACAGCCCAAATAGCCGGCGACACGGCCTTACTAAACCGGATTTACTAGTTTAACCTCTTTTAAGCTTGAACAGTAAAATTTTCACCAATCTCTCTCTTTGAGTTTTTATGGTATAACGATACAAATGGTCCGTGAACTTTGACTCGATGTGCAGTGCGGTCCCTGAACTTTTAATTTGCTCAATATAGTCCATGGACTTTTAGCGCATGTTCAATTTAGTCCATGAATTACGTGAAATTGTTCAACACCGTCCTTCCATCAATTCAAATTTAGGAACGGCATATAGTTCGGGGACTGAATTGAACCCGTACGAAAAGTATAGGGGGCCACATCGAACAAATTAAAAGTTGGGCGGCGACACTGCGCACCGGGCTAAAGTCCACGGACCACGCTGCATATCGGGCCGAAACCTCGTATCATTTTCCCCCGTATCTCATCACGCGAGGGGAAAACGAAACCGGTTTCCCGTCAAGGTCAATGCGTTTTCTTCCCATCCGGAGCAAGAACCGGCCCGCGAATCTCCCAAGAAGCAGCAGCAGCAGGAGACTTGGTGCCCCGTTTCTCGGAATCTCGTGAGTCGCACGGATCAAGTAAAGGCGACAAAAAAAGTGGGGGGCGGCTAATCTCATCCACGGCATCACATTGATCGCTCTAATCCCATGATTCTTGATTAATGGTTAAGGAAGGTCGTCAGTTTTTTTTCTTCTTTTGAAAGGGGGGCAGACACCTCGCAAAGATTCCCTCCCCCCCGAACGAGGAGATAGCCGCACCCAGCACGGCAAGAGTACATACATACACGACAGCCCCTTCCCCCACTTGCCCAAAAGGAATAAAAGCAAGGCACCACCCCCCACCACCACCTTTGCAACGTTAAGAAGTAAAAAACAACGACCCCCCCCCAAAAAGAAATTTTTTTTTAAAATATATTTAAAAGGGAAAAAGAAAAGGGGCAAAAGTGGTGGGCGTGGGGGGGGGGGGGGGGGGGAAGGGCAGAAGTGTCATTGCGCGGCGGCGATACGTTCCACTAACGAACAAAGCGGAAAGAAAAAGATTGAAGGAATAGTTTGGTAAAGCGGGGGGCATATGCTGTGCGGGCAGAGGAGTCGGTGCGGATCGACCTGGCATCAGAAAAAAGCGGAGAAAAAAAACGGGCGGAGGAGGTGCGCTTAGCCGCACCGGGCTTTTTTTCCGGCGAAATTACGCCCGTGCCCTTTTACCCGCCCCTCCCCCCCCCCGGGGGTCGTAATTTCGGGAACCGCTTTCTGCTATTTGCGATGGTGTTAAATCCCACAGCTTTGATTGCTGCAATTATGACCGCCTTCATGATGATGGCGCGTCCCTGTCCAATCATGACCGCCTCCGCCAATCAAAAACTGGAGGTGTCTCGGAGCGTGTTCACTCGGGGCTAAAAAAGCCCCGTTCGACCCGATCCGTTTCTCTTTTATTTGCGGTTCGAATTTTTTTTTTTTTTAAGGAAAGCTAAGAGATAACGACGTAAACGGTCCGTGAACTCTGACTCAATGTGTATATAACTTACCCCCTCAACTTTTAATTCGTTCAATACGGTTTCTGAACTTTACCCAAATGTGCAATGTGATCCGTGAACTTTTCATTCGTTTGGTGTGGTCCTTAGACTTTTTTAGTATTCATTTTCCATTTAGACTATATGGAACATGTTCTATATAAAGTTCCAAAAGTCAGGACATATTAAATAAATTCAAAATTTAGGGATCACATTATACATTTGGGTAAAGCTCATGGTCCACATTAAATAAATTTAAAGTTTAGGGATCACATTGCACATTGGGCCAAAGTTTATGGATTATTTGAGTCATTTTCCTTAAAACTAAAATTAAAAAAAGTAACAAGAAGAAAATACAAATGGATATTCATGCTATACTTAGGAAGTGAGGAATATCAGAGAGAACAAAATTTTCGGTCTAGATTTTAAAATTTCGTGAGGGAGATGACAAAGGATTTTAATTTTTAAACACTCTTACACGATTCCCTTTATTAATGGCGAATCATTTGAAAAATATAAAATCCATTTGGAATTTTTATCTCGATAGTCGATACCAAATTCTCTAAAGTACTTATACGTTATGAGATAGTAATGTCGTGAAATTATAGTTGTTTTTTTTTTATTTCAATCGAATTTTTCATTAATATTCCATTTCTAAAGCCTATCCTAACACATTTCATGATTACACTTTCGTCACGAGATAATTGAATATCATGTATCACATTCTTTATTTAATGTATACCGAATGAAATTAAATGGAATTAACAAGCATCAAATCAATACATTAAAAGATGTCTACAAAATTTACATCCGCTAACTTTTCCATATATATATATATATTATACATATGAGTATGTCTACAGCCTCTGCAAAAATTTTAGTAGCATAGGAGGACAATTGATATTAGGATGAAAGGTGATTAAACTTTATAATATATATACTTTTAATTTTAATTTCCATAACTAACAATTAATTAGGATTTTTCCCGACAAAAATTTTAATAATATGCTCGTTAATGTTCTGATCTACGGAAACTATTGAACTAGCTCTTACGCTCGTGCTATGCGCGTGCACAATTTTAAAAGTTATGTTATCTACAATTAACCCCCGGCTCATGTTAAGATACTTTTTTCGACATTTTAAATAGCCATTTTAGTTCTTTTTTCGACCCCCAAAAGAAAAACTCCGGGAGTTCTTTGATCCCTTTTGTTCTACAAATATAGGTAATCTATACTTTTACTAAGGCTAGGTCTCTAGAGTGAACAAACGTACAAATTCGTCCATATTTTGTGGGTTCAATTTCTTCCTTTCGAGCGATGTGATTTATTAATAGAATAGGATGTCATTAACAAATTGGGGGCACCATCCCATAACACAGGAAGTTGCTTCTTGAAATGCCGTCGTTTGGTTCAAATCTTAAACTATTTTCATTAAATTTTACCAACGACTTAGTCCAAGATATTTTGAATGCCTAACACAATCTAAACTTGAATTTAACCTATACGTCAAATCTTTCCTTTCACGGAATTTTTAATTCATCTTCCAAAATGAAAAGTTAACCTTCTCCTTGATATATTCTATTATTAATTTCAATTTCGACATGTTTCCGTAGGCTCTTCTGCTAACAAATAAAAAGAAAGTTAGCATATTTTTTCTTAAGTTTTAATTTATCATCGAAATAATACGTACCATTTCCTAGGTTGTAATTGCCCTTATTAGCTTCTAGCACAATACGAACCAATTAAATCCCGTTACGATGGACACGTAAAAGTGCATGTGCGCGTACGTTGTACGCCTGTCGCTAAAATAATTACGTTACCCACTCCGTGGTCACGATCATCAGTCCAAATCAATTTTTTTCCTCTCTTCTTCTTTTTTTTTTATATAAAAAGAAGAGAGCACCGCCACGTGTCATACCGACATTTAGCACAGCCGAGAAAACCAATCCGTCCCATGACTCATGTGTAAGGGGGAATAAACGTCGAAATAGGGATATTAAAAAAAAAGCCTGATTTCAAAAAAAATAAAAATGATCAATTTTGTATTGAATGACAATTCTGACCCGAATTATTTTCGCTAATTTTTATTTAAATCTCAAATTTGATCCGAAAAATTTAAGAATTATAAATTACGGGAACCAGATTTGGAACTAATAAAAGTTCATGATTTTTATTAGTTCGGGTTAGAATTATCGCATGTACTAAAGTTAACGGTCGATTTTTTTTTGGAATTAGCTCTATAAAAAACATGGGGGAGGGGGGGGGGGGGGGGAATGAAATAAAGAAAAAAGAGGGAAAGGGAAAAATGCGGTGCGGGCGATGATGACGTCATCCGGGGGAGCATCCAGATCTCGCAGCCAAAAGAAGCTTCTTCTTCTCTTCACCCACACACACACACACACCCTCTCCTCCTCCTCCTCCTCTTCGTCTTCTTCACCGTTTCTCTCTCTAGTTGCAGAGAATTCGCAGAGACTAGAGAGAGATGAATTTGGTGAGAGAAAGCAACTCACGCGAGCAGCAGCAGCAGCAGCGGAATTCACCATGAGAGCTCCCGGCTGGAGCTTCCTCCGGGCTCCGGCGGTCCTGGTCTCCCTCCTCCTCCTCCACGCCGGCGGCACTGCAGCATCCGGCGGCCCGACCGTGCTCCACAGGAGGATCCTCCACCAGCCGCTCTTCCCGGCGGGCTCCGCCCCGCCCCCGGCCGCCGAGTCGCTCCCCCCGCCGCCGCCCTCCCCTCCCCCGCCGTCCCCCGCGTTCCCGGACCCCGACCAGCCGTTCTTCCCCGAGGTGCCGGCCGGGGCGACCCAGAACCCGGGCGGCGGCCAGCCGCCGCCGGCGCTCAGCAATGCGACCACGCCGTTCCCGACCGCGACGCAGCCGACGAAGCCGACGAAGACGGTGGCGATCGCCATCTCCGTCGGGATCGTCACCTTGGGAATGCTGTCCGCCCTCGGGTTCTTCCTGTACCGGCACAGGGCCAAGCATCCGCAGGAGACGCAAAAGCTCGTCGGTGGGAACAGTTCCGAGAGAGGCGTCGACGATTCTCGAGCTCCGCCGTCCAATTTCCTCTACATTGGGACCGTTGAGCCGTCGGCGACGAGATCCACCGGCGACTGCAGCGGAGAAATCTCGTCGCCTTACCGGAAGTTGGATTCGGTGAACAGATCAGAGAACCCTCGGTATCGGCCGAGTCCTGAGTTGCAGCCCCTGCCGCCGTTGGCGAAGCCTCCGGCGGAGAAGTCGCCGGCGATCTCGTCGGACGATGAGGAGAGTCACGATACTGCGTTTTACACTCCTCAATGCTCCTCCGTAAGCAACGAGGAGAGCTACCACACGCCAATTTCTCGTCCGGGCAGTAAGAGCGCCGGCGACAGGAAAGGTTTTGGAGTCTTCGGGAGAAGCGACGGCAATGGCTCCGGCGCTTCCGTTCCGCATTCGAAGAGAACGTCTCCAAAATCACGAATTTCCGCTTCTTCCCCGGAAATGAAACATGTCATCATACCATCCATAAAGCAGGTCTCGCCGCCGCCTGTGGTGGCGCCGTCGCAGAAGAGCGGAAGGACGATCGCCAGGCCTAAATTCTCATGTCCACCTCCGCCTCCGAACATGGCACTTCTCCAATCAATAAGCAGCTCACCGCAGGGAGCAAACAGAGTTACGGCTGCACCGCCTCCTCCGCCGCCGCCGCCTCCTCCTCCGCCGCCGCCGCCCCCGCCGCCTCCTAGACTGCCCTTGCCACCGGGGGCCTTTGCGACTCCGAGGAAAGAGAGAAGACTAGGAGCTAACGTTTCGTCTCCTCAACAGCATACCCCAGAATCAACCGGATCAAAATCTTGGAATCCGGCTTCCAGAGTAATTTCAAGTAATGGGAAGAGCGAGGCTGCCGGAGAGAGTAGCAGAAGCCACGGTTCTTCCGAGAGGCAAAACGGGGACGACAAAGATGAAGCGAGGCCGAAATTGAAGCCTCTGCACTGGGACAAAGTCAGGGCAACTTCTGACAGAGCCACGGTGTGGGACCAGCTCAAGTCGAGTTCTTTCCAGTTAAGTCTTGTTTCTTGAAATAAATGTTGATGCTGCTGAAGTCTAGTAAAACCAATTCTGATCACCATGGAAAAATTTCTCTGATTTGTAGATTGAATGAGGATATGATGGAGACCCTTTTCGGTTGCCACTCGACAAATTCAGCTCCTAAGGAGCCGGCGAGGAGATCGGTGCTGCCCCCTCCGGAACAGGAGAACAGGGTATTGGATCCAAAGAAGTCACAGAATATAGCCATCCTGTTGAGAGCACTGAACGTGACGAGGGATGAAGTCTCCGAAGCTCTTTTAGATGGTATGCCCCCATGTCCTTTCAATTTTCTTCAAAACATGGAAAGAGAATAGTCGGAAATTACGATATCCGAACTTAGCTTAAAAAGAAGGAAGTGGGTAGCTTATGGAAATTCAAACTTTGATGACGATACGATTATGCTCTTGGGGTGTCGAGAGCCTTTTTTTTTTCCCCTTCGTGGAACCTAATCGTCACTAATCCCAAGGAATAATGGATTTGAGTTCATATGGAAAGTTCTTGAAGTTGCAATCCCGGCCAAATTCAATGAAGCCTGTAGTGTGCCAAGATAGAACAAGCTTTTTAGTTGAAGCCGTAAGTCTTACAACAGTCGAAACCAGAAGATCATTGCATTGTCGTATGTGTTCTGAAGAATCATCATATATTATTGGGAACAAGGAGGGGCAGAGGGGGAAGTTAAAGAAATATAACATAGTTGTAGAGGGTCAAAATCTTCAGATGCAGTAAACAAATGCGGGTTCTTACCTGCATGACTTCATGGCTTCAATTTCACGATTTCAAGTTGTAATCGAGTTTGCAGCATGAGAGAGAGAGAGAGAGAGAGATGTTATGAATAAGGTTATAATAGAGTACTTTTTTTCAAGAGTTAAGTGGAAGTTGATTTCGATTGATCTCTTATTTTGCATGCTTTATTACATTGCTAGTGTAATTACATTATGTGCCATATGTAAATGGATTTGTAGGTAATCCAGAAGGTTTGGGTGCTGAACTTCTGGAGACACTTGTGAAAATGGCTCCGACAAAGGAGGAGGAGATAAAGCTTCGAGATTATAACGGTGACATCTCTAAACTAGGGACTGCAGAACGGTTTCTTAAGGCTATCCTTGACATTCCATTTGCCTTCAAAAGAGTTGAAGCCATGTTATATAGAGCCAATTTTGAGGCTGAGGTGAACTACCTGAGGAAGGCTTTCCAAACGCTAGAGGTACTATTCTCAAGTTATCCACACCAACATCATGCAATCCCTCATAGTTTTTATTAGATGTGATAAATTCTTTGGTTGCAATGTCTCTGACCTACTCATTGGATGTTATTACATGGCAGGCAGCTAGTGAAGAGCTAAAGAACAGCCGATTATTCCTCAAACTCCTTGAAGCTGTGCTTAGGACAGGAAACCGAATGAACGTAGGCACAAACCGTGGAGATGCAAAATCTTTCAAACTTGATACACTCCTAAAACTCGTAGACATAAAGGCAACAGATGGAAAAACGACGCTTCTTCACTTCGTGGTTCAGGAAATCATAAGGTCTGAGGGAGAAGGTACAACTTCTGTTGACGACAATCTTCAGAACAAGGTGCAACCTAAGATGAAGGACGAGGACTTCAAGAAGCAAGGATTGCAGGTTGTGGCTAACCTGAGCAAGGACCTTGGAAACGTGAAAAAGGCAGCAGGGATGGACTCTGATGTCTTGAGTAGTTATGTCACAAAACTTGAAAGTGGGCTCGACAAAGTCAGACATGTGCTGCAATACCAGAGGCCAGATATGCAGAGGAACTTTTTCGATTCAATGAAGATGTTCCTTAGAGAGGCAGAGGAGGAAATCACTAGAGTCAAGGATGATGAGAAGAAGGCTTTGTTTCTCGTGAGAGAGGTTACTGAATATTTTCATGGTGATGCTGCAAAGGAGGAAGCTCACCCATTAAGAATTTTTCTGATCGTGAGAGATTTTCTCTCGGTTTTGGATCATGTGTGCAAGGATGTCGGTAGGATGCAGGATCGGACGGTGGTGGGGACTGCGAGGTCCTTCCGGATTTCTTCCACTGCTTCACTCCCTGTTCTAAACAGGTATAACGTGAGAGGAAATAGCAGCTCGGACGAGGAAAGCTTGTCTCCATAGAATACACAAATACGAAGCCGAATATTACCCGGCATGCAGTTAATCAGCATAACCACTGTTTTGCCAATTCAAAAGGCATCACGATGATGAAGCTTAATAATACTCAGCATGTGAGATAATCTTTACCCGCAGTTTCGGCAATTGAAATGGCATCAGTGACAAGAATGTTATAGTTGTAGCATTTCGGAGAACCAAAGGCAGAACAGGCATTTCTCACGTGATGGGTATCCCAAACCCGGAGCGAAAGGACGTCGCAGCTTCTTTATGATCGGAGTCGTCGTGTCTTGTAGAACAGGAACAAAGTCAATAGGTCAATGAGGGGATCGACATCAAACTACCTCTTTTTTGCCAGGAAGCCGGTGCACGTGCGGCTGTAACCTGGAGAGTAAAAGGTGAAAAGCAAAGAGAGAGAAATCATTTTTGTATACTTTGATGAGTTTGACGTATCTTCAATAGCACAGGCAGTGTTTTCTTCGCTCAGATTGACAGACAATCCCATACAGACAGAATTCAAAGGCACGGCATGTCTTGCTGTCGCTTTTGCAATCTCGAATACGATTAGCATTTGTTTTTGAGGATCCTAAATAAGAATACAGATAATTCTTTTGATGCATTCTCGGATCGCATTCTCGTGTCTCAAAACTAACATCCCAGATATGCGTTTGATATCGAATCGGAGATCGGGTGCTTTCTTTTTCGGGAAAACTAGAATTCATTGTCGAAGTACAATAGCACCACCAGGGGACATTTCCCCCCCTTCCGAATTAGCAACCGCCGTATCGGGTCCCAAGACTAGCGCGCCACCGTAGGCGTTGTCGCCTTTACCGGGCTCGTGATTTCTGGCTGCAGAACCCTTCCCTGGACCAGATTGAGGCCACATAACCATGCCGTCGGGTTTCACGTTTTGGAACCAAGTTAACGCTGCCCTCTGCGATGCCTCTGTCCCGCTGTGTCGCCGTTGCACGTCCATGCCGCCGGTCTGCCATTTTAAGAGTCTCACTGCTCATCTTGCTCATTTGCTGTTTGTTGTTGTGTGCTCATCGCGCACTGCTTTGTTTTTTCTTTTAAAGCTATAGCCATTTACAGAGTTCAATTTTATTTGGGCCTAGATAGAACTGTCAACTGTTCGGATCGCGTTTTCATGATACCTTATTGAAACCGAAACATAAAGGATTTGCGCTCGTTCTGGCCCGAACCAAAAACCCAGTTCGGGTCGGGTGGGGTCGGTTTTTTCTTTTGGCAAAGTACGTTTTCAAATGATGTCCAAACAGAAGAGTCTTGAATTGGCATAAAATGCCTTGATCACTCAAAAATAAGTTGTGGAGTACACTACCATGTAGCTCATTTCTCCATGCTAAAATAACACAGACCTGACATGCATAAATACACTTCAACATTGAAAGCAAAGTGACTGCTAGTAGTGTTGTAGCTACTGACTGTCGCAGACGAGCTTGAGCCACGCTGGCTTCGGGCGAGCTCCTCCCTTGCTAGTGGTAGATCGCCAACCGTCACCGTGACCAGCCGAAGAAGAAGAAAAAAGAAAAATAAAAAGAAAAATAATTAGAAATTCGATTTTTTTAACAAAAGAAAAGAAAAAATATATGAAAAGAAAAAGAAAAACAGAAATGAAAAATAAAAACAAAAAAACATTAAAAGGAGTGTTTGGAGGAGAACGTGCTTGAAAAAAAAAAAGAACATTTTCCGTCCATGGAAAAAACACGTTCAAAAGTGGAAAAAAATTATTTCATCTTTTTGAAAATAGAAAATCATTTTATTATTTTCTTTCTTTTTTCCTTTTCTGTTTTTGTTCTTTTCCTTTCCTTTTCTTTTTTTTTTTTTTTTTTTCCTCCGCCAGCCATAGCCGGGAAGTGAGGTCGTCGGCCTCAGAGGCGAGGCCGCTCGGGCGCCGGGCGAGGCCGGCCTCGCTCGGCCGCCGCGCGGCCCGGCTCGCGCTGACACGGCGAGGCTCGACCTCGCCTCGCACCGGCGAGGCCGGGCCTCGCCTAACGCCGGGCGAGGCCGGCGAGGTCGAGCTCGCCGGCGGCGGCGGCGAGGCCGAGCTCGCCGGATCCGGGCGAGGCTCGACCTCGCTCGCAACCGCGAGGCCGGCCGCCCGACACTGCGGCGAGGGCGACCTCGCCTGCCCGGGCGAGGCGGCCCTCGGCCGACGCGGGCGAGGGCGGCCTCGCCCGAGGCCGGCGACTCCGCGACCTGGCCGCCAGGCAAAAAAAAAAAAAAAAGAAAAGGAAAGGAAGAAAAATAAAAAAATAAAAAAAAAGAAAAGAAAATGAAAATGTTTTCCTTGACTAGTTTATTTTCTTGCAGCGTGTGCTGGGGCAAACCAAACGCCGGAAAATAGGGAATCATTTTCCCTCTTTTTCTTTCACCTAGAAAAAAAAAATGAAAATGTTTTCCTTGACAAGTTTATTTTTCGTGAAACAAACAGAGCCATAATGAGTTGTATTTTTCATTTTCCTTTAACCTACATGGATATTATTGCGGTCATGGGATATATATAAAATAACCTATGTTATTTCAAGATATGGTCTATTTCCTCTAATGTCCAATCAAAAGAGACAATTTTTTCAAGATAATTTTACTACCTTTTTTTTTAACATTTCTATTTTAAGAATTTACTTCAAGATACTTTTGTCTAAAACTATCAAATTGAAATCACAGATGCCTCCTCGGTGCTGGAAATCGAAGCCCTAGCATTGCATCCAGCTTTATTGTACTTAGAAGATGAAATTGATCTGCAGAGAAGTGTGGATCTGCCCATGGTGATGAGCTCTGATAACTTATCTTTGGTGAACATTCTCCCGGCTCATGGGAGTTTCGGGCCATCCTTGAAGAATGTAATCAAAAGCTTTCCTAGAGTTGGTCTACAGCCTGCGCGAATCAAATCAAGTGTCAAACCGAATAGCCAAGACACATCGCTAGAAAGTCCTACTGCAAGATTGGCTCGTAAAACTGCCATTACCTTTATGGGATCTTTTATGTTCAGAAACGCGCAAGTCATGCTATCATTTTGTTAGTCAATGAATGACACACTTCGCTCTTCGACCAAAAAAAAAATCGTAGATCGACGTCGGGAAATGACAAATCGATAAGCTAAAAGTTTATTATTGGTTAAATGTGGATGACGAGGCAAAAGAATACCATGTGCTCTGCGTGGGTGTATGTTCGTAAACATATTTTTAAATCCGCCAACATATTTATTGACTCAATATATTCGCCAATATACTTATTTGTACACAAACAAAACTTCATATCTAAACTTAGATTGCAATATATATACACATATCAGATTGTATTAATTTCAATAAATACAATACAATCTCTAATTCCAATATCAAATCGTAAAAATCCTCTAATTCTGTCTCCTTCGTGCAAGATTCGAAGGCCTTGATATCTTAATGTCAAATTGAACATGACAATTTTTTTTTTTATTTCTTCAAAAACCAGACATGGGTCTTGATGGCTGAGTCCATTTAAGCTTTATGTCCTTGTCAGCACTTGAACCAGATTGGCTGATTCGAGATTTTTTATCCATCATTTTTATTTTTAAACAAATATCGATTCTATTTCAAATTTGACTTGAATAAATTGTCCAATTCAATTTACATCATTGACCAATTGCCGTGTAAAATCTAGTAAATTAAAACTCATGAACTTTTATCTCTTATTTGATTTTTTCTTTCTAAATATTGTTGATTTTCAAAATAAGTGGATTCTGAAAAATCATTGATCGAATACACTTTCAACATACTTTCTTTGGATTTTGTAAGTGGTAAAAGTTTGGGATTGATTAGTCACTATATTAATGCTAATTAGTCGAATATGGACTCTGTGGCACGGTTATGCGATGTAGTTTGACGGCCACATGACAATCACAGAGACAAAGTTCAGCGCCACATGGCGAGCTCACGTGCGTCGTGCACCTCTCTCAGTTCCGATACGTTAACAAAAAAGTTCATGTCCACGAAAAAGAGGTAGTGCAAAGAAGATAAGGGCTTTTGCTTTTGGGATAATAATACAAATGAGCCCTGAATTTCGATCCAATATGTAATGTGGTCCATGAATTATTTATCGTTCAATGTGGTCCCTGGATTTTTAATTATTCAATACGGTCTCTCAACTTCTGGTACCTGTCCAAACTAGCTCCCGGACTATACGAAAACATCTGATGTTATCATTCCATTAATTTAAAGTTCAAGGACAACATCGGACATTTTCATATAATCTAAGGATCCAGTTTGAACAGGCAACAGAAGTTCAGGGATCACATTACACATCGAATCAAAGCAGGGCCATATCGAACAAATCAAGAGTCTAAGGATCACATCGCACATCAGATCAAAATTCGAGGATCGCTCGCCCCATTTTTTCCCCTTTGCTTTTCCTAAAAGAAAAGAGAGAGAGAGAAAGAGAGAGAGAGAGAGAGAGGGAGAGTGGTAGTTTCAATTTTTGAGCCAAGGAGAAAAAGCAAAGGCCAAAAGCAAAGGCCCCTCCCCTATGCCATAAAATAACGAAAAAGAAACTAAAGTTTTAGGGAACACCAACGAGGGGAGGGTTATGCAAAAAAGGGGAGGGGGGGGCACCACATCATCGGCGTCCTCTTTTGTTTTTTGAGACGCGCACACACACTGAAAGAGAAGGAAGCCCGATTTTTTGATGGCCATAAGGCCTTTGCTTCTTCTCCTTCATCATCATCAATTCCCTCTCCCCTCCTCCTCCTCCTCCTCCTCCTCCCCACGCCATTCCCTCCACCACCACTGCCGCCTCCTCCTCTCCTCCCTCCCCCCGATCCTCTCCCCCCTCCTCGGCGGCCGCCGCCGCAGCCTCGCCTCCCACGCCCCGCTCTCCCCGCCCAACGACCACCGCAAGCGCCCCCGCCCCCGCCGCCGCCCCCGCCGCCGCCCCCGCCCCCGCCCATCCACCGCCGCCGCGTCCCCTCCTCGCCCCTCGGCAGCTCTCGCCGCCGGAAACCCTGGCGCAGAAGATCGGGAAGGCCACGCGGCGGCCCGGCGCCGCCTCCAAGGCCAGGGTCTACGCCGACGTCAATGTGATCCGCCCGAAAGAGTACTGGGATTACGAGTCCCTGACTGTCCAGTGGGGGTATCGATGCTTCTTCCCCTTGTTGTATCTTGTCGTGGTGTGGAGTTTGATTGGGTCTACCTCGTCGATTGAATTGCCGGAACGAGACCGAGAGTTTGGTCTTGCCCATTTCGTTTTCAATTTTCTGTTTGGTTTATGGAAATTTTGTGAATGGGAGAGGACTCAAACGTACGTTAGGGTTGTAATTGGTAAGGGAAGGGTGAAAGATTGTTGCTCGAGTGGTTTGTTGGTATAACAAACAAGGTAGCCCGACACGCTCCTTGTCGAGAACTAGGAGAATGATACCGCTTCTCTGCCTGTATGCCGGGCTTTGGATTTCAATTCGTAATTTGTTTCTCGGGTATTCTTGCTATTCAGGGAGCAAGATGATTATGAAGTTGTGAGGAAGGTCGGGAGGGGCAAATACAGCGAGGTGTTTGAAGGTGTTCACTGCACGGACAACGAGAAATGTATCATTAAGATTCTCAAGCCTGTCAAAAAGAAAAAGGTGTGTGCTTTTTGCATCTCGAGAATGTTTAGGGTTCATTTTTTGTTTTGGCGTGCATAGGAAATTCGAAACGAATTTGTAATCATGTAGCGAAGTGGCTGAATGCAAAAGGGAAGAACTGTGAGACCCTCCCTTTTGCTTTTTGTACCTGGGAGAAAGTCCTTGTAGCTGTCTCTAGCTACGATGTTGATGCTGGAAACTTGTTTAGCTCTAATTATGTCTGTATCAGCCTTCTTATGGTGTTCCATTGGCCATCCTGATGGTTATTTGAACTTTCTATTGTGAAGTTCAAGAAACATTTTTAAAGATTCTCACTCTTCTGAGAGGATTGCATGATTAACATTACTACACATAGAAGCTACAGTGGTTTCGCTACGGTAGTACACTATAGTCTCAGACTTAGGTTGGACAAATTGCAATTTTTCTGTTGATTGTCTTCTCAGTATGTAATCCTGATATCTTTGGCTTATGATACTGTTTAACTCTTGTGCTGTACAAAGAACTGAATTATAAGCCTGTCTTCAAGGAGTTGGTTGTATTTGAATGGACCATCTTGCTTTAGGAAAATGTTTGTATAGCCATAATTTAGGCTGCGCTTTGTATACCAGTGAAAGAAGGTAAAGTTACAGCTTGTTGAGATTTCCTTGTACTGGTTGTACTTGTTTCTCCAGTGTACTGTGTGATCACATGTGAGTCCTTAAATGTCGGTCAATCGGAAAATGACTTTTTACTCTTTTGGATAATCTTCTTGTGATAATGGAAATGGTAAGTATAATTCCTGGAGAGATGTTATGAAAATACCAAGCATTTTAGAAATCGCCGTTTGTCCATCTTCCTTGATTTGGCAGAAGTTGAATGGTTGGTGAAATGTTGAAGTTTATTTTTGTCTGAACTATGGAAAAGGCCATGGACTTGGAAATTTAGGGCTATGGATAGGGTACTTTCTCTCTCTCTCTCTCTCTGATGGAATAGTAGAGTGAGAATGCTTTTGCTGACAGAGATAAACCAAGGAGGCTCACGTCTTCTTGTCTTCCTCGAAGGGAAAAAAAAGCAAGGCGCTGGTGGTCTTTGTTTGGAGCAGTTGAACATTGTTATAGGTTTCTTAAACCAGTCAGCACCAAACACTCGATACCTGAGCTCTTTGGAGCTCCTTTTGGGGTGGTGCCTGAGGACGCAAACCAGGATGTTTCCTTGGGCCATTGCCCTCATTGTGGGGGAACTCTTGAAGGGAAAGTAGTGCTGAAGAAGCCTTTGTTTTACAAGGGAGTAGGAAGAAACTGGGAATTTTTTTTCAAAATGATCATCGAGTTGTTAGACTTGGTGGAATTAATAGGGAGCAGATGCCAAAAACATCCTGCAACTTTCAGGTTCTTGGTAATGCTGTTGGTTAAGCGGGTTCTGTCAACAAGAGAAAAGGTTTTGTAGAATGCAGAAAGTTTAACAGGAAATCTATCATTCCTGTTATGAAGATTTTTCAGAACTTGAGGGTAAGCCTTAGCCCAATCATGGAGGAGGAATCGTTCAGCGAGCATCCTCATTCTCTGTTTTAACTGAAGAACAATTAAACATGCTTTCTCCTTCAGTTCAATTTATTAATGGAAGGGTGGAAGGGGATTTGGAACCAGGAGAGCTCTTTCCAGATGAGGGAGAGGTGGTTGAAACCCCGCCTGACTGCTTGGGATCTTTGAAAGTTGATATGCCAGATTAACCATAGCCCACTGTCACCTTTGGAGAGAAATGACACTACCCTTGCGCAGGCCATAGATAATAGCAAAGAAGATCAATCTCTTGCTCTGGCGCCTTTTGTTGATGGGCACACCCAGAGTGCTTTTTGTGGGGAGAGGGACTTGTCACAGTCAGATGTTTTGGATGAACAGTTTCCGGCTAAAGTTTCTGATTGCGCTGTTTGCAGGATCAGATAGGTGAGTAGAATAGTAGGGGTCTCCTTTGTAGGATATAAGGAGAGGGCTTTTAAAGTTTTTGAAGATATTGAGAAAAGGAAGGAGGAAGCGAAGAAAAAATCCAGGAAAGAGCCTGGTAGTATGAGAAGGGGAGTTGACTAAAGTGGGAGAACAGAAGGTACGGATTTGCAGTTAACTATGAGAAGGTAAAGTCAGTGGGAGTTAGTGTTTCTTCATGAACTCGAAACTTATTGCTTGAATTGTGAGGAGTCTAAATGATTCTAGAAAAGGGCTGTAGTAAAAAGATTTTGGAATGACTGGTGAGTGGATATTTTTAGCTTACAGAAAAAAAAATAAAAAAAAAATTCTGAGCAGTTTGTGAGATCCATTTGGCTGCTGAGAACTAAGAAGTGAATTCACTTATCTGCCTCAGGATTCTTCAGTGGTACTTTAATTTTGTGGGACTCGCTTGTAGTGGAATTGAGGAGTTTTTTTGTCAGGCTCTGTACTTTATCTCCTGCAATTTTCAGTTGCTGTCCGACAACTTTGATCTATGGACCTAGGAGGAGGGAGGGGCGAAACCAACTTTGTGAAGAGCTTACTGAGAGCAGGGAGAGGTGGTGTTTGCCTTGGCTTTTGGGGGGATTTCAACCTTCTCTTTTCTGATCATGAAAGATAGGGGGCCATAGTGGGAAGTGTGGGCACCAAGTAGTTCCGAAGTTATGTTTTTGAGAATGAGCTCTTCAACGTCCGTCTAGTGCAGGTAATTTCACTTGGTCAAGTTTTCGGGACTCTCCTCCTTTTTCATGGTCGGATAGATTCTTGTTATCTCAAGATTGGGATGATTTTTGCCCCAACTTTGAGGGGAAAATTGTCCAAAAAGTTCTAAACCTATTGCACTTTGCTAATTCAGTTTTAAACCTTTCAATTTTGCCAATTGAGTCTTAAACCTTTTCATGTTTTGCTAATTGAGTCTATCCAGCTAATTTTGGCGAGAAATCGCTGACATGGACGCCGGCCGTCCTACGTGGCATGGCCGGGCGCCGATGTCGACAATTTTTAATAATATATTAATATTTTTTGAACTTTCTTATAAATTTTATTTCCTTCTTTTCTTTTTTTCTTTTTTCCCTTCCCTTCTCTTCTTTTCTTTTTCCCTTTTTCTCTTTGCCAGCCACTGTCTAGCCTTGTCGATGGCCTGGCAAAGGTCGCCAGCCTCAGGCCAGGGTGACCTTCGCTATGGTGGCCCTCGCCTGGGCGTGCATTGGCCGCCCTCGCCCTAGGCGGTGACCTCCGCTGGCCATCGACGAGGCCTAGCGGTGGCCGGTGGAGTGAAAAAGGAAAAAAGAAAGAAGAAAAAGAAAAGAAAAGAAGAGGAAAGGGAAAAATAAAAAAATTTAAAAAAATTCGAAAACATATTATTAAATCCACGTCAGCGTTGCTTGTGCCGCGTAGGATGGTCGGCGTACACGTCAGCAATTTCTAGCCAAAATTAGCTGGATGAACTCAATTGGCAAAACGTGAAAAGGTTTAGGTCTCAATTGGCAAAATTGAAAGGTTTAGGAGTGAATTGACAAAAGTGCATTCGGTTTAGAACTTTTTGGACAATTTTCCCCAAGTCTGAGCAATGCCTTCTGCCAAGACCAACCTCTGACCATCATGCTGTCTTATTGGAATTGGCGGGTGTAATGGGGATCCTACCCGTTTTCGTTTGGGAAACAAGTGGCTGAAGGTGGAAGGTCTTTATGAGCTTGTAAGGACAGCTGGTCTGAAATAGCTGAGTCGGGCACGGCTACTTTGATCTTAGCTTCGAAGCTCAAAGCTTGGAAGAGGAAGTTTAAAGGTTGGAAGAAGGAAGAGTTTGATAGTTCTTCGAGGATGAAGGATGGAGGATGAATTTATGAATGAAATTATTTTAGTGGATGATATGGAAATTCAAAGGTGACTTAGTTGGGGTAAGGAAATGAGAGCGTGTGCTAAAGCTGACCTAGCTTGGTTGCTTTTGCTGGATGAGATATCAGAGATATAGAACTTTGGCTTAGAGAAGGAGATAAAAACACCAGATTTTTCCACAAAATAGCAAATGCACATCAAAGGAATAACTACATGAGCAAGGAGATCATTGAGGGACAAACTTTTGAAAAGGACAAGAGAAGAATGAATCGATCTGTGCTTTTGTTCGGAACTTTACACTGAACCTAGAGTTGGAGGCCTGGATTAGGGAATATCGTTTCCTTATCCTGTTGATGATTTTGTACATGGGTTGGCATCCCCTTGGTGCCTATTGTGGATAATACTCATTACAGTTCAATAAAAAAAAAGATAAGTTCAATTTTTCTTCATCTTTAGACAGTGACATAGCCGCCTTGGGGGATTAGGGGAGCACGAGTTAAGGGTCATAGTTCACATCAAAGGAAGTATATCCTGTAACAGGGGGTCAAACCTGTGAACCTGAAGGGGCTAATAAGAAACGAGAGTTTTCTCTTATGTGCTAGGGTAGCTCCCCACCCTGATTCGGCTAGGTAAATTATGAAAGTCTTTCATTGAAACTTCTACTTTATATGAACATTTTGCAGTTGGAACAATTGGTTAATGTTAAAAGAACCGATCTTTTATAGTTTGTTGATACAATGTGTGACGAATTACCCCCAAAATAATATATTAGTAGACTGATGGAGGAAGAAATTTTGTATATATGTGATGGATGAACGAGAGCAAATATGTTTGAGTAATTATTTATTTACAGAATTATAGATTGCCAGCGTTCTTCAGCCAGTTTATTACCACGTATAGTTGTATTTTTATGATAGTCCTGTTGACATAATGCGTGACAATTGTGAACCTTTAGTAAGTACTCTTTTTGTACCATGTGCAGATTAAGAGGGAGATCAAAATATTGCAAAACCTTTGTGGTGGACCTAATATCGTGAAGTTACTTGATATTGTTAGAGATCAGCAATCGAAGACCCCAAGTCTGATTTTTGAATACGTCAATAATACAGATTTCAAAGTGTTATATCCGACCCTTTCTGACTATGACATTCGCTATTATATTTATGAACTTCTAAAGGCAAGTCTCTCTCTCTCTCTCTCTCTCTCTCTCTCTCTCTTGCGCGCTCACGCCCACACATTTTAAATTGCCTTTGTCCTTAGCTTTTTTTCCCTACTTGTTTCATGGGTTCTTGTTGTCGACTATAAGTGGTGCCTGGTAGTTGAAGCCTGTAACTTTTAGATTTGTTTTGATTTTGATCTTTCTAACAAATGTGAGTAGCGAAGAAATCTTATGACTTGTTTTATCGTGATAGATGCTCTTGATGTTTATAACAATGTTGATGTTTAACAGCTCAACACTTGCATAAAGCATTGCTGCCTTATTGCAATCCTTTAGAATTTCATGTATGGGTGGTTTTGGTTTTTGCTTAGCTTGGTGAACTTGGTTTAGGAAGCTATTAGTCTGACATTTGGTAGTTTGTCTTTTCCTCAAAGATAGAAAAGATATAATTGAAGTTTTCATAATTGATGTTTTGAGGGATATTTTTACTTTGTATTAATTGAATCCAAAACCACAAGTTGAAATCTCCCTTGCGATGTTTACGTCTCACTATCTGTATTTCTTTGGAAAAAGTTACTGTTTGGACCGTACGAGGTGAACATTGTCTTAGGTAACCCTTTTGGGGACATATACCTCCTATGGAGATATAAAGACACACTTTCATTAACTTTTTTATATATAATAAGAAAAATTATATGTTTTGTCCCTGTACTTTAATGCTTTTCTAATCATGTCTTGATACTTTTAAATTGTCTAATCAAATCTTTATACTGTCACAAATTTTCTAATTGTGTCACCATGACAAAAAATCAGACCAAATTCAATTGACATGGACGTCAATGATGCCAAAGTATGATGAGGAGAAATTATGTTGATGCCCACATGGATTTGGGTGGAAAATCGAATTGCGCCCCTATGACAAAAAATCAGACCAAATTCAATTGACATGGACGTCAACGATGCCCAAGTATGATGAGGAGAAATTATGTTGATGCCCACATGGATTTGGGTGGAAAAATTTAGCCGGTGTAGATAATGTTGGATTGTGATGTGAATAAAATTTAGCCAATGTGGACACCCATGGGGACATCCGCAGTGGAAATATTTTATTCTGACGGCCACATCAGCAAAATTTGGTCGGATTTGGTGTTGGAGGCACTTGATTAGAAAATGTGTGAAACTAGAATAATTTGGTTAGACATATTAAAGCTATAGGGAATTGATAGAAAGAACGTGAACGTAAAGGGACCAAAAGCTGAATTTTTCCAAGATGATAGCCACTGCTATTAACTTTTGTATATACGTACACATATGTTTTATTTGTATAAGAGCTAAATTCATCCTTGGGCAGAGGTCGTAATGATAGGAGCACTCAAAAATGTTGAGGACGTTATCTTGTCACTGTTCTCTAATAATTGAAGAAAGTCAAGCCACTCTTGGAAATTTGTATTCTGGTTCTTTCACGCACAACCTTTAAGGATAAGTCAATACCGTTATTGTTCCTCTCTCTCTCTCTCTCTCTCTCTCCTCCCCCCAAACACAAATACAAAATGGAAGAGGAGGGAAGGATTGGGGTTGGTGCGGAAAGGAGGGTGCAATGCCTTCCCTTAGGGTCAAAAAGTAACAGAGTTGCTTACTGTTGACTAGCTTGTTATGTCTTGTTTACTAAATGTATTGCTGTTTTTTCGATAAACATGATTAGGCATTGGACTATTGCCACTCACAAGGGATTATGCATCGTGATGTCAAGCCACATAATGTCATGATTGATCATGAGCAGCGTAAACTTCGTCTTATAGATTGGGGCCTCGCCGAGTTCTATCATCCTGGAAAAGAATACAATGTTCGCGTTGCTTCCAGGTTTTGCTTCGCTTTTATTGTCATAGTTGGATTTAAATGCGTGCGTGCGTCTATATATCTGAATTCTTAGAATGTTGTCTTTTTTTCTCAGTCATACTATTGATTTGTTGACAAATTCTAGCGACTGTTAATTTATGATTTTTGGAGTTGAAAGGAATCTTGTTTGTTTTTATTTGGTGTAGTTACACTTTGCATCTCGAAATTTGAGTTTGTCAAGCTATGTCCTGTGTTCTTTCATTCTTTCAATTTGCTCACTACATTAATTGTCTCACTTTGTCCAACTCTTTAGTTATTTTTTAATCATGGTCAATTGACTAATGCCTTAAGCAAAGGGTCATTTCTGTTACTCAATTTATACAAAAACTGAACTTTGGCTTTTACTTGCGACTTTAACAGCATCTGTAGGAAACAACTGTGGCTAATTATGTGGATTGGCATTAGATGGGCATTGCAGACTAGTTTTGAGAATTAAAAAGATTTAGGTAGGTAACATATGAGGCTTGCTGACGAGTTTGCTCTTGGTGGCAGAAACTCGCAGCCAGTGATGATTGTTAATGCTAGGGATTGAGTGTAAGTGAGAAGGAGGGAGAGAGGGATTTCAACTAACTTTTAGTGGATCTGCATAATTTTAAGATTTTGACTAATGGTTTGGAGACTTATTTTGTGTTGAAGTTATTCAACTTTGGATCATGGATTCATGGGTAACTCTATATGCCATTATTTTCTTTGAGAGATTTGCATCATTTGGTTGTAGAAGATACAGAGAAATTTAGCAGGGCGTTGAACTTTAGATTGACAGCTAAGAATATATTTTGATGATTAATTTAGGTTGCTAAGAATCATTGTTATGTCATCAAATACCAATTGAAGGCTAATATGTCACTAGCATTTGCAAATTGGTTCCATACATCCAGTTTAATCTAATATCTTGTGAGTTATGATTGCAAGAAAACAGTATGGCATTTTGCTTTAATCTGGATGGATAGACATCAAGAATTGATTATGAATGATTTGCTTATGTCTAACCTGCCAGGCAGAGCCTTTTGGCTTAAGCAAAGGATTTGGAATTTCAAAAATTCAGTGCACATCTAAATTGTTCAAGTGATATCTGCAGGACTTTAATCACGATTACTGAGAATATTGCTTCATGGTTAAATAGTTTAGGTCTTTTGTGAATTTTCAATCTGTTCACAGCACTTGAAGAAGCATGGACATTGTTTTTTGTCTTTTTGCTGTGTCTAATAATTGTTAGGTCTATTTATTCATGAATGCGAGTTATAGTCCCTCTTACAACCTAAATGCCACAATTGTAGGTACTTCAAAGGACCCGAGCTGCTTGTTGATTTGCAGGACTATGATTACTCTTTAGATTTGTGGAGCCTTGGGTGTATGTTTGCAGGAATGGTGAGTATGCATGCACCATATCTAAACATTTATTGCTGGGTCTTTCATTTATATAAGTTACTTCTCTGTTGTATTGTTATATCACGGGTGACCTTTATATCAGTCTCAAATGATTATTTATTCAGTTAGGTGCCAAGGCTGAAGTCAGTCTTTGTATGTTGATCTTCAATAAAAGAGATCGAGTTCTATATGGATGTATACATGTATTGCTTGCAGGAAATCTACATTTAGAAAGTTCTTTTACAATTTTTTTGTGAGAATTCTTGGTGATACAATAAATTAGTCATTTGCTTTTTACATTCTTCATAGATGGAGTGACAAGTAAGGGATTTTCAAATTCGAGAAGTTAGGTTATGTGCTAGTGCCTTCTGCGATTCTAACTGTGAGGCTTGTGCCATGTAGATATTCCGTAAGGAGCCATTCTTCTATGGGCATGATAATTATGATCAACTGGTCAAAATAGCCAAGGTATACAGACTGATTGGTTGGAGTATAGCTTAACAAATAAGTGGCAGGAACAAAGAGATAAATCTCTCAATTTTTTGCTATGTTGCAACAGGTACTTGGCACTGATGAGCTAAATGCTTACCTTAACAAGTATCGTATAGAGCTTGACCCACACCTTGCATCACTTGTTGGGAGGTCGGTCATATCACCAAAATTATCTTCATTATCATCATCACTGTTATTGTTATTATTTAGCGGGGATCTGCATTGTGTAAATTTGTGCATTTTTTGTTTTCTTTTTTTCAAGATATTTCTGGTTGCACCTGAGATTTCCTTTTTACTTTGTTTAATTGTAGACATAGCCGGAAGCCATGGTCAAAATTCATAAATGTTGACAACCAACATTTAGCTGTCCCTGAGGTAGATCGATTTGTCTTTTATTGCGTGGCAATTTGAAACCTTTCTATTAAGGAAGTATTCTCTTATGGTTTGTTTTGTCCATTTCTTGTTGAAGGCCATGGACTTTGTGGACAAGTTGCTGCGATATGATCATCAGGAGAGGCCGACTGCAAAGGAGGCAATGGTATGATCCAATTCCGACTTCAAAAGAGGCCATTGACTTTTTGAAAATGGGACTTCTCTGTGGGCACTGGTGCACTTTTTAGTGTCTGACATTGTGTTCATGTTGCTCTGGCTTGAATCAGTATGCTGGTAGCTTGAATTATAATTTCCCAGACTTGAGGCTCAGTGTGTGCTGAAGTTACTGTTTTAAAGTGTTTCTGGTCAAGTCACATTGCTTCAGTTGTCCTTTGGACTCGAGCAAATTCGTGTGAGATTAGATTAACGTATTGCTTTTCTGATGCTTTTTAACGTGTCGTATCATTTCATGAAAAAACTTGTGTTCTCTCTCATGCAGGCTCATCCTTATTTTTACCCAGTAAGAAATGCGGAAAGCAGCAGAAATCGTGCCTAAAGATTTGAAGCTTTGTCAGCCTTTTATTCATATGGCTCATTGGATTGTTGGGTCGTCATTCTGTAAACCTTACTGGACCGTGAACTGAGGCTGCAGGTTGAAAGTTCAAACATGTGTTACCTTTGACATTAGACAATCAGCTTATTCCTTTTATTTTTACTTCTTTTTCTGTTTTTTTCGACCGGTGGACTTGCGTATTCCAAGTCTCTTTGTGGTTTGAAATTGGAACTTTCTTGTGCTGCTAAAAAGTGAATAACCTTGTCCTGACTTAAAGGCAAGAACTTGTATGGTGTTATTCTCGTGATCTGCTTAACATTGTACATTGGTTTCCATAGAAATCTTTCTAGTCAAACACTTGCTGTCAGCCGGACAATCAGAGTCAGCATTGATACATTTTTTATTTTTTGGAAGAAAGTCGGATATGTGAACTTTTTGTCAGCCGGACTACGACATTAGCTTCCTATATGACAAAGGCGGATGTTGGAATCGAGAGGAGGATGGTGAACCAGTGCTGATTTCTACGGGACAGCACATGCTCCGGTGGTTCTGCATCTCACATCTTCCCATTTGAGCTTACAAAGATCATTCCCAATAGGAAAAAAGCCACAAAAAATCTTAAATTATGTCTAATGTGACACATTTATTTTGAACTTTTTTCTTTTGTGACATCAAAAATCTCAAATTATGCTTACTGTAATACATTTATCATAAATTTTTTCTTGTGACATAAAAAACCATAAACTTGTACTTATGTGACATTTACTCTCTATCAATGTTCCGTTAGATTATTTTTTAGTCAAAATAACGTTATTTTTATTTCACTTAGCCAACGTGAGTGCCATGTTAACATTGCTTGTTTTCCGGCATCCATTTGGGCAGATTTTTAACTATTCTCAATCACAGAACTTTAACAGAGGGTAAAGTGTCACAGAAGTACAAGTTTGGGATATTTTGTATCACAAAAAAAAGTCGAGCATGAATGTGTCATAATTGGCATAATTCAAGGTTTTTAGTAGCTTCTGCTCTTCTTAATTTGTCCGCTGGACACAGTTGTAGCTGTGTTGTAACTTGTTCAATGAGAAGTGACGTGGACAATCCTCTATTTCAAAAGTAACGTAATCATCACGAAAATAGGAGAAAATATGGGTAATCAATTTCAAAATATACCAATTTTATCCGCGACTCGATAAAATTTTGTCGTTGTTGATTTATTTTACCAAATCAGTTTCTATCGTTTGAGGTCATGCAGAAAGTTTTGTGATTAGAACTAGAGATTGACGTGCCCTTGGCGCAAAACTAAAGTACATGTTCCATAGACCACTTACAACTGTTAGTCATATTTCGTCTTAATAAATTATTGTTTCTTAAAATCTGAAATTTTCTTCCTCATTTGAAAATAATACCTGAGTGATTACTTCGAATTGTTGGGATCAAAATCAAAATTAAAACAATCTATATATCATAAAAAAAAATCATTTGTCATACTTATAAATGTAATTTTTTGTGCCTCCAACTATTATTTGAAATTATTAGATTGAAAATTAGCTCCAATCAATTTCCCTTGTATGACTTACATCATTTCTAGCTTCGATCAATTTCCCTTGCATGACTTACATCATTGCTATTTAGTTAACTTATTTCTTTAAGTTCAAACATACAAGTGGTAAATTGATGACTCCCAGATGTTATGTAATCAGGGTATTGTTTTTCTTTAATAAAATTGATAAATTATTATTATCATAAAGCACAAACAGTAAGAAGTTTCTTGCGTGCGGTAATATTTTTAAAAGCATGACTTTTTATTAGTTGCCATAAATCCATCAAATAACCATACTTGCCATATGTTTTGCTTTTGTAACTTTTTCTGCTTTTAGCAATAAAAAATTTGGAATTGGAAGCAAGATAATTTCGATGCTATCTGAAACTATTTATTATCTGGACTGTAATATCTATCATAGCAATTTTAAAGAACGGTTGATCACATAGCTGTTATATTAGATTTTTTTCTCTTTTAGTGAAAAATTGAATCGTCCTTTTAATTTTCAATTTTATTGCCTTATGCGTCCTACCACCGATTCTATATATATATATTTTAATTTCCACCTCTCTCACATACACACGAGACGATGATTCTTCACCCTTTTTAGCTCGATATTTTCATCCACAAACCAATATTCTACATGTTAAGTTTTTCCAAGTATCATAAGGTTAATGAGGTTTGCAATTGAAGTGTTGAATCGGGCATACTTGCGTAATAAATTAGTTATTACTAGTACAATTGTTCATTTACTAAAAAGGGTTTTTTTCTCCCTAACATACGAAAATTCTCTATATCCTGCTTGTCTTATCCATATATATACATAATTTTATTGTTCATATTTCACTGTTCATCCCTAGACAAGAGGTCTATAAAAAGAGGCAGAAATAAGATAATCGTCAGGCTTTCTTTCTCCCCTTCAGATGCCCCGACTCTCTGACTCTTTCTTCTCTTGTTCTCTAGCTCTCTAACTTTCTTTCCTCTCTTCCTACCCCTTCGCTCACATCTTCCAAAACCTCCATTTCTCATCTTCTCCATCTTCTTCTTCTTCTTCTTGTTCTTCCCCATCACAACTACATCACTGGTATCACAAGATTACTCTGAAATCACTGACTTTGTATCACAAGATCACTTATACGTTTCTTCATTTAATGAAGAGATTACCAACCGATTCATATATATATATAGTTTGCTAAAAAAATTGGTAAATATAAGAAACGAAGGTGGGCTTGGTGGAGTTGGGCTAAAAGCTCTTGCTTGTTTCTGGTCTGGGTTAGGCCATTGGTATTTTCATCATCACTTTTGGACCCACAAATCTCTCTCTCAAGATAATGATTCTTTTCCCTTTTTTAAGCTCAAAAAATTTCTTCCTCAAGCCCAATTATGCACATGTCAATTTTTTTTTATTTCACCATAAAGCTTTATGAAATTTCCAATTAAAATGTTGAATTTGGCATATCTAAGTAAAAACTAGTTATCTTATTGCTTACCAAAAAATGAGTTTCTTTTTCCATGATACAAGAAATTTGAAAATTCTCTACCGGCATATTACCACACACATCATGACCAAAAAAAACAAAAAACCTACCGCATACGAATAAAAAACACTTAATGAGTTAGTGAACTCATTTGGAGGTTAAAAATTACTTTTATTTCTATATATTGTATGTAAAGAAAAATTTATCTTGATCAAATACACGCACTATATTAGTTAAACAAATGAACCATTTTATTTATTGTATGCTTAGACTTGAAGATAACAAGCCATAGAACGCAGTTCTAAAGCTTGGTAGGAGCAATTGAGGGTAAACATCTTATAGAACATGAGTACGTCAATTTCCTTGGCGGGACCTGTTTGTAAAAGGTGAATATACCATTCGGTGAAAACTAGTGAGAAGTCTGGAAGGACCATTTTGCAAAAGTAGCTCATGCTATAGATGGTGTAGATGGTTGATATACGAGCCTCTATAATCCTGGAGAGAAAACCCCATTCTCTTTAGCAATTTGATTTGAATTCAAACTGGTGCGTCCCAGTTTTGCTAATTCTGTGAAAGGCAGAAAAGGATGTCACGTAGACTATAGAAACATAGAGCTCTATTTCGGTAAATGGCATCCATTATCCACGAACAGTCCTTTTGCTTGCACAAAAAGCAGCTCTAATGGTCAAGGAGGTCAGATCGACGCCTTTTTGACTGAGATATTTTTTAATGGACACCTTTAAAATTTTAAAGTCTTTTTAAAGAGATCAAAGTGGACTGTGAAGATCTGTGTAAATTCGAGCACTCTCATTCTCTCTGTTGCATCAAATTCTCCATCTTTCCTTCATGCAAAATCGAGTGTTTTTCTATGGTAAATCTTTGTTGAGGGAGTGAATATTTGATATGTGGAAAAGGAAGGACGGATATAGTGTTGCGAGAGTTGCTTGAACTACTGAAGGCTGAAGCTTTGTGTATAAGCAGTACTTTTCTACAAGCTGCAAAATCTCAAAAATTACATAGTGGGTTCCGGCTTTAGTGGGGCTATAAGTGCTGAAAGAGTGGAGTAGGCTAAGGCTGCGTATGGCAACCATTCTCGTGTCCGAAAATGATTCTTTTTATTTGTGCAAACAATTTCGAAAATTTTTTTTTATTTTGTGCTTAAATGAAACAATTTCTAAAACACCGCATTTGAAGGTGTTTACGAAGGTGGGAGTTGAATCTAGTCGGAGAATTTCTATTCTTAGAATAGAAAAAAACATAAATACGTTTAATAACTACACAAAATTTCATTTTATTAATAATATTTTGAATTTTTTAATATTTCTTTTTTTTTTTCTTTCCCTTCTCTTCCTTGGCCAAGGCCGGTTGCCGGCGCCGGCGATAGGCCACAGGCCAAGGCCGGCGAGGCCTCGCTGTCGCGGCCACGAGCCGCCCTCGCCCAGGCGACGAGGGCCGCAACGCCCTCTCCGGCCTTGGCCTGCAACCGGTCGCCAACGGCCGGTGGCCGGCAGGTGGCGAGCGGCAGGCCGAAGAACAACAACAAACCAAAAAAAAAGAAGAAAATGAAGAAAAATCAGAAATGGAAAAATTGTTCCAGAATCAAGAATCTACTTTTTTTTGCTTCTTGATTCTGTTCCAAAACTGATTCTGGAAATATTTTTTTGCAAAATTGTGCCCTGGCACAAAAAATTTAACAAACGGATTTCTGCTCCCAAACTGATTCTGAGAACCAAAGAACAGAAATTTTTACTATTTGGCAAGTTGCCAAACAGGCCCTAAGTGAAAGGCCAAACCATTATAATCTTATTTGCATCTCTCTCTCTTTAACTCCTTTAACATCTATTTGATAGAGGATTATGTTTCGGCATAATTGATTCTCGTTTCAGCAACACATTCCACACGTCTCCCAACAAAAAACTTTTAATTTTCATAGAATAACCAATTGACCCCCTCTTGGTTGTTCTGCCTAGTCATTTCATAAATATGCACATACGACATTGCAACGTGCCCAGTTCAGTTGGGGGCACGGCACATACAGCACCTTACTTGTGTTTACCAAAAAAGAGGTAGTCTCTAAATTGCAAGTCATAAAAAAATTCAAGTATAAAATGACGAACAAACAAGACAAAGTTTTCTCAAACCTTGTAGTTTTTTCCCCGTGCATAAGTGTCTTCAATTCGATTTGCTCGAACTCAAAATGATACTTATTCAAAAGTTGGTAATCTTCTTCATAACCGTCTTCACGATCCTTTCTTTCCTTGTGAGAAGATTTTGCAAAACACTC